CCCTGTATTGTATGCTGGGCCTAGGATGCTGTTTGGTAGCCCATGGTGAGTGACTGTCCACTTGGAGGTCAGCTGCTTCGAGCTTATCTCCCTGAGGGCATCAGCCATCTAGAACAATCAGACTCTATAGTCTGTCCACCCTAAGTAGGGCCCACTCCCTGCTGATAGGGGTAGTGGATTGTTTCCCTGAAGGAGAGCCCAGAGACAAGGTTAAGCCAACTCAAGGAGGAGCAAGGTTAGGCTGCCATCTTGAATCTAGCATCCGCCCATCTTGTCACATGTGTACTCCTAGTGCATCCCCTTCCTATTGTGTGTACACCCCTATCTCATCCCCCTCCTGTTGTGTGTATGCCTATTTGCACAGTCCCTTCCTGTCACATATGCGGTCCCCGAAATGTATATAATCTGTGATTAGAAATATATACTCTCTTTGCGCGGACCTGACTACTGTGATCATGGCTGTCCCGGAGGTGAGCATGCTACCATGAGATGTATCTGACTCCTTTCTTTCACTCTGTCCTATCGTCTATGATTTTACTATGATCTTTATACATTATAGCCATACAATTGTACCTACGGACCCCTCGGTTGAAAGTTCTGTTAGTGATTGATTTTAGAATGTACTCTTATGTTCCCGGGGTCAGAACTTTGTCCTTAATAATGCTGTTCCTTTTAATATTGTAATCACAATATTACTATTCTTATTTTATTAACCAGGATGTTATAATCAATCCTGTACCCTGTAACGCTCCCTAACTCTAAAGAATGTTAACATTAATTTTGCTTTCTATTTTTGTCATATGCCTACTTAAGTCCCTGATAAACGATAAATGAGTTTTTGCTTTTATAAACTCACTGAGATGTCCACTCGGGACTGCTACTGAAAAAAAATCACCTTTAGATTCTTGAAGTCCGGTTATAACTGAATAAAGAAAGGTTCTTCTAAATTTCAAGATATTAGAGTGGCTGTCATGTATTTGAACCCGCAACATTTTTTTTCTTTTTTGCTTGTAGCGCTGCCATAAAACCAGTCACTAGCTGTGTAGTTATCTGAATTGTTCATGTTGTCTTTGCAAATTGATGATCCCCAATCACATGATAAGTCAGTCATCTACCAAATTGTTAAATCTAATAAAGTGTTAGGCTTTTTGTTCTGCACTCTCTAATCACCCTCATTTCTTATGCAAACTAAATTCCACATTATGGAGATAAAGCTATCAGTGTCCAATGCACAGGCAAAATTAAACTTGTGAAATTTCATGTTTTAGCAGCATTTACCTATATACAAATCAATCCCAGGAAAAACAGCTGCAATCAACAAACATTTTGCCTGATTGGTTATAATAAAATGTTCCTGGGCAGCTCAAACAATCTGAAGCGCTCAGCTACTAACCAGAAAGCTTGGTGACTTGACTCCCCCCCAGAGGCACTGCAGAGGAAACGCCTAGCTATCTGCTTCCCCCAGACTCGCGCCATTGAAAAGCCTATGTGGCCAAATGCTACGTGGTCACACCTGGAGTTGCTATGAGTTGGAGTCATCTCCAGGCTGGGTACAACAACACTGTTCCTATGCACCACTCTGCATCACAACTTCGGGAAGAATAGCATCACATTCATTTGCCAAGGCCCCCTTCCTAATTAAAATAGAAGTGGGCATGGGAGCATGCAACCTGCAAAATCAGAAGTGATTTCTCAGGTTACCAGTTAAGTGCCCGCTAGTAAAGAGCCAAGCTGAAATGGTGAAAATAATGGGGTCGGCTTCTGAACAAGAAGAGGAAGCACATGAAAAGGTAAAGAAACCGTTAAGGAGAGGCCAATTTCCATTTCTTGGGAAACTTCTGGGATTTTCAAGAGTTAGGAAGTACGCAAGGGAAAGTCAGAAAGTATTGTTACTAGGGTTCCAGTTCATATATTCGTAGATTTAGTCTAAACAGAACATGTTTCAACATGTCTCGGTGATCCGTGGATGGCTGATCCCTCTCAACAATATGCTGTCCTTAGTCTCATTGGAGTGCTTGAAAGTAAAGGTCCAATCTAAATTGTGGCTTCTGGGGAGATGTGCTGGGCTAGTTCAATTCAGGACAGAGAGGTCAACTCAGAAGGCTATGGTGACTGGTTGAGGGGACCCTCAGGGGTCATCTTGATAGATTTTTTTAGAAGGACAGAGAGATCATGGTGCACTATTGCAAAAATGGAAAATTGCATTGGTGAGAACAAGGGTATGAAAGTTATTCAAGGAATTTTTCCCCCTATCATGACAATGCACCTGCTCATTCTTCAAGGGTAGCAAGAGCTGTCCTAGGTGAGATTCATCCTATATCCTGAAGTATTTATTAGTGGTGCTGCCTTTCTATCTAAAAAGTGGACTATCCTTGAGATGACTGAAGGATTAAGCTATTGAATTGTATGATATATAAACTATGTGCCAATAAAACTGTTGAAAGAAGTGGACTGAAAAAAAAGAAGTGGATTGGACAACAAATACTATGGTCACTCTATCTCAGGTTTTCTCACGGTCACATTGTGGGTATTTGAGGCTGCAAAACTTGTTGTGTGAGGCTCTCTGTATATTACAGGGTATTGAGCAACATTCCTGGCCTTTACCCATTTAATGCCAAGAGTACCCAGCCCTCCTTGCCTAGGATTGACATGATAAAAATGCCCTAGATAGTGCCAAATGTATTCTGGGGGGATTGCCCTTGGTTGATAGCCATAGCATCTAAAGTTTATGTTCATAAAAATCTGCCTACAGAAGGAAAGTGTAAATTATGTTACCAAACGTACTATGAGCTGAAACCAATTTAGTACAGTATAGGCTAGGATATACCCTATACTCAATCAAAGTTAATTGAAGGGACATTATTTCCCAATTGTAGAAAGGTGCAAAAGCTAAACAAGTAATGGACAAGATAACTGGAGGCGCTCTAGTGATAAAAATTGTTTTGTTGCAATTCTTTTTAGAGAAGAATGAGATTTTGTACTGGAAATGGTGACCCAGCAACCTATTGGCTGCCCATTCTAGGAATATTGTGGAATTTGATTTTTGACTTCATTGAGTGTTTCGCCTTAGTAATGAACTTAAAGGTCAGGTGATAGCCCAGAGTGAAATGGTAAGTTTAATAGTGCAGCAACTTTCTTTAAGAATAGTAGTTAATGATAATCAATATTCTCTTTTTCCCTACTCTTGTACTTAGAAATGACCACCATTTCTTTCATACCACCATTTTTCATTTATTAGCAATAACAGAGGAAATACCAATAGCACCAATTAAAAATGAACCCACATGACGTGTTTTATCCTTACAGCTGTAATACCTAGTAACTAACATGGATTGGAAAGCACTTTGCAAAAGTAAAAAGTGCTGTACAGGTACATTATAATTATCATCATTAATAAATTAGCCCGATTCTCCTAGTATTCAAAAGGCACGTAAGGTCAGATACATGGGCTTCAGTGGGGCAAAATGATTACAACCTACAATGTAGCAATGGTTTACAGGTGTTGGCAACACGTTTTACCCCATGCGATCCTGCAGAGCTGAAGTTACACACCCTTCAAAATATGGGAGAATGAAGCTAAAGTAGACAAAACGGTTTCTTTTTTTTTTAGATTTAAATACTTTTTTGGGTAACAAACCCCTACCTCTACTGCTACCTTTTAAATAGATAATTGATCAAACTTCTAAATTTTACATTTTAACAAAATTTAAAGGTCTTATTTAAGGTGACAGCAAATTTTATTTTTCTCTGTGAGTTGATATTACAGATATCATTAGAATTTCAAAGCATTCTGTGACTTTAAAGAGGTCAGATTGGTAAATTTTGTGCTTCCATACCTCAGAGGATATCTTTAATATTCATTCCAGAATTGTTACTAGAAAAAAACAGCTTTTTCCATGCTCTTGCCAGCAGGAATCTTGGCAAGATATGGCTCTTGGCTGACCATAAATAAAATTCCTTGAATCACCAGTAGCTTGATTTAAGAAAGAAATTTTACTGTGTCTCATACACAAAAGCTGATTAACAATGGTTGAAAAAAACACTACTCCACTTTTTCACAGGTGTACAAAAAGAAAGATAATGGAATTACATTCAACAATAAAGCTTAAAGTTCACTGTAGGTAATAGTTGCATTAACATTCACATACACAAGCACGGAGTAAGTATATTTCAGGAGTCTTATAGTAGCATACAGCATACATATGGGAGATTGATTCAGGTAACATCATAGGTGTTAGTAAGATTAGCAATTCAGTGTTAGAGAAAAGGAAAACTAAAGCAAGGAGGTGGTGTAGGCTAGTACACCGAGACAAATCACAGTCAGGATTGAAAAGTCTGCTCACTGTATGTATGAGAAAACAATATTTTTGTTCGATTTCTGGGTCTTGAAATAGTTGGTTGGAGAAGGTTGTGTATTCAAAGTACACATAATTGTTTCTTAGAAAAGGAGAGAGAGAGAGAGAAATCCTTTTATTTAGCAATTAAGACATGCAAGAGGCAGCCCCCAGTGACCTGAAAGAGTAAAGCTGTGATTGGCAGGTGGCCGGTATAATACAGATGTTTCAGGCAATTCTCTTAAAGCACTTCTCTGTAGCAGCAATGATCATTTAAATGGCTGTAGACTGACTTCTCTTTTGAGGGGAGTTTAGGGGAATTGTAGTCATCATATTTCTCTTTAACGATTTATAGCTATAGGGTTTTCTCTTTTTAAAATAAATCTATCAAACAATAAACAGCATAAAGTGAGGTGCTGGGGTTTCTTTCTTTTTCTTTTGATTTTGCATATGTGTTGTTGAAAAGGATCTGGCCCTTTCATAAACATTGTGTGCAAAAGAATTTTTAATAAAGTGAGCACAAGGACATATATAGGAAACATCAGATCTGCTTCTGTTCCCCTGATTGCCCCACCCCACCCCCCACCCCACCTCCCGGCCATAATGCAGCCATAATGCAGGGTTTAAGATGACACCAGGCCCAAACTCTAAGCACTCCTAAAGTCTTCTCAGTTGGAGCAGCTTTGTCTGTTAGAGGGGAGCCACCACCTTTTAAATTTTAAGGTTTAAAAAGTCTGGTCCCCTTTAATTTCACAATTCCCCTTGAAACTGTAGCTCCCACTGCTTCTTTGCCTTTGTTCCCCAGCCCTTCTGGCACCAACTAGTTAAATCTGGCCTGTGCCACCTGATCCATACCTGGCGCTCATCATCCCAGTGGCCACACATACCCAGTGGCCACAACACCCAAGCTGCTCAATCTCAAACTTTTCAGCCTGCCCTGCAAGTGTCATCAAGACAGGATCCCAGGAGCACAGGGCAGAGAGTCCAACCTCTCACTGGCCGGGCTGGGAAGGCTCTCCTTTGCGGCGGAGGAGAAAGGAAACTTGGGTCAGCTTTTTAGGTTCTGCAAACAAGCCAGAGTGGAGAGAAAAGAGTTAACACCAGACTTAGTAAAGCTTTCAAGACAAAATCTGTTCAATGCGATCTAGACAGACAGAGGGAACGTTCGGCAGGTTTCTGAGGTCTACAAGAGAGGGCTCGTGTGGACAGGAGAGAGGAATAGGGAATTGCTACATGGGAGAGTTTTGCCGCTATTACAAAAACTGGCTACGTGGCTTGGTTCCGTCAGGTGACCTCACTGGTCACTGTTGTCAGTCGTGCTGTTCCCTTTCTCCTTCTTCTCCTGGGTCTTGTTGCCCTTCTTCTTTTTCTTCTTTTTCTTGGTCTCTTCCTTTTTGCCGAAGGTGATGAAGTCACTTTTGTCAATTTGGCTGTTAGCAGGCTCCTGCCGGATGGAGATGATTGCAGGAGATCCTGGGATAATGAATTTGTCTGGCAACTCACCGGGGCCAGATTGCTTGGGGTTGCCAGGTCCGTATTTAAAGGTCCAGCTGTTGCTGTTGACACCAGCCCCCACTGGAGGGGACACCTCTCCTGCCTCTGGTTCTGAAAGAGAAAACATCACAAGTCAGTAACAGAGCGATAGCCCGAGCCCTCCATACCACACTCCTGCGTGAAGAAGAGGCTCACAGAGGCTCTGCCCCTACAAGTCCTGGGCCATTCTGCAAGTTGAGGGCCAGGCCAGGCTTGGCAGCACGCAAGGGGGCATACTTTCTCACCAGAGCGTCAAGGAATCGAATTTTCTTTTCCTTCCATAGTTTTATTGATATAAAACAGACTAGGACACACCTCCATCGTGAAGCAGCTGTTAAAAAGGGTTATATACACATCGTCACCATCAGTTCTAGGGCTCCCTCCCTCATTCACTGAGGTGCCCTGATTCTCCATCCTTCCCCTATCTAAACCATCACATCGGCTATTGTTTCTGCAGCCACTCCTCCTGTGACCTGACAGAAACAATAAAAAACAAACGCGTAATGAAACGGAAAAAAAACAATATAAAGGTAAAAATAAAAAGGAGTAAGAAAGAAAAGGCCACTGGCAATATTTTAAAAAGCCAGAGAACAAATTTCTGTTGTGGAACAAGCGAAAAAGATTGAAGCCCGGAACAAATTCAGGTTGGGTCAAGAGGGAGGTCAACTGACCACGTCTCAAATGATACCGTGGAATCTAATTTTGCTAGCATCACATTGTGTTTGCTCTTTGTGAAGAATTTTCTGAAGATACTGTGTGTGGTGACCTTGCCTGGGAATGTAACAGGAGATGCCACACAGGATTAAAGCAGAATATACTACCTCTAGAGTGTGAGTTAGAGAAAACGTGGGTCGAATGTGTATTTTGATTCCTACCCTGTACAAAACAGAAGACAGATTGCTTAAACCCTGCCCTGGCCTGTCGTCCCGTGTTCTTTGTCAGTTTCCTTTGTAGGCTCCCCTCACCTGTATTGGGGGGTCACTGGGTTTGGCCCTAGATCTTTCTCTCCTTTCTCTTCACACTCTCCTTTTAGGATCTCAGTCACGTCCATGGGTTTAATTGTTATGCAAATAGGCTGATGAGACACACATTTACAAAATTCTTTTTTTTTACATCTTCATTTTATGGTTTTATTAATTGAGTTGCTTTTTTAAAAATCATTTTATTAGGGGCTCATAGAACTCTTATCACAATCCATACACACATCAATTGTGTAAAGCACATTTGTACATTCATTGCCCTCATAATTCTCAAAACATTCGCCCTCCACTTAAGGCCCTGGCGTGAGGTCCTCATTTTTTCCCCCTCCCTCCCTGCTCCCCCCACATTTACATAATTCTTAAATGTCATTTCAATCTTAAGCATCTAGGGACTTATTCGAGGTCGCATGAGCATCTCCAGCTTAAGGAATGTGACACCAAACTCAGGTTCCTCTCATCTATTCCACGCTGAATCCTTCCAGGGACAGTAAACAGCACGCTATTCACCCCATTGTTCAAGCCAGAAACTTTGGAGCCACTCCTCATTTCTCTTTATTGTGGTACTTACATCGCCTGTTCTCAATTTGAGACTTAAAAGTGAATGGGTGAAATTTAGCCTGTCAAACAGGTTGCAGTTTGAAGACCTCATTTGGTAGCGCTAAGGAGATCAATAGCTCGTTGGAGGCAGACACATGCTCACTCCCTGGGAGACATTCCTATTGAGAAGATACATGGAGCTTTGCTAGAACCCTGGAGCTGAACGAGCCACGTGGAGACCCCTGCCAGTGCTGAGGTGCTTCCACAAGACTTTCCACCCACTGGCCTGTGATCTTCTACATTCGGCGTCATTGCATGTGTTCCGTGAGTCTGAAGAGGACTTTATAGATTGGTATAGGACATATGGGCTAATATCAGACTTATGGACTTGACCTCGACTGGGCTGGGATGTTTTCTCAATATTCAATTGCTCTTGTATATAAAGCTCTTTCTTATACACATATGAATGTCTATGAATTTGTTTCTCTAGTCAACCCAGACTAACACAATAATATAACACCAAAACCTGTCATTTTTTACTTTGCCCCTTCTCTCTATTTTTGCTGTCACAAGCCTTTGTCAGGACACCATTATCTCTCTCACTTTTGGCCCACTCTAATATTCCACATAGATGCCATAGTAGTCTTCGTTCCTTAAGATCCTACAAACAAACAATAAAATCCTCTTAAAATAGAGATCAGACTAATATTACTCTCCTGTTTAACTTGAAGAAAAAGACACACACACACACACACACACACACACACACAAACTCATTAGCGTGGTACAGGCAGTCCCCAAATTATAACATCCAATTTACATACAACCCATAGTAATGACCCAACCCACATAAAATCTATATTAAATTTTTGAGGTATCTATACTGGTTCATAATAATGAATTGGTGCTAATTTGCAAGGAGCATAAAAGCATGATTATTACTGTATTATGCTAATTATGTTTCAGTGTATCTGGAAGTTTTTCCCATGTTTTTTGTGCATACAAAGGTACACTATATGCCACACATTAACACAAATATTTGATTAGCTTATATTCATTAGGAATCATACCTAACATTACGGTTTACATACAAATTCGACTTAAAGGCAGGAACAGGGCTCACTCATAATCTGAGGACTGCCTGTATCATATAAGCCCTGTAGAGAGCCCTTTAATGTTCTCATGTTTTCTTCTTTCCCATCTCACCTACCACTCACCCTACTCTAACCACACTGGCCACCTTTCATTCCCTCAGAGACCTCCTGAGGTCATTTTTGCTCCAAAATCTTTGCAAATGCCCTCTACCTACAATGATCTCCCCCTTACTGTTGGAATGCTTCCTCATTCTTTAAGTCGATTCTTACATGTAACATTTTCAGAGAAGAAACGATGACCATCAGAGCCCAGTAGCTCACTTCCTATTCTCCCAACCCCACTCAACAACCTGCATTGCTTTAAGAGGCAGAAACGTATCTGTTTTATTCACCAGTGTACGCCATTGTCCAGCATAATTCCTGGTCCATACAGGTATTTAATAAGGACTTTCTGAATGAGTTAGTAAACAAATTAGTATGAGGGGAGGTGTGGGAATGGCACTCACACTTGAGTAGACCAGAACCGCTCCTCATTGCTAGCACTTGTAGAGTCCCCAAAGAAAATGAGTGAATGCATGAAAAGTCTAATCCCCAGCACTATGTAAGGGCTCAATAAATTGTGGAGCAAAAGAGCCCTGGTTGTGCTGTGGGTTACACATTAGGCTGCTAACTGCAAAGTTGGTAGTTCAAACCCACCAGCCACTCCTGGGGAGAAGGATGGGTCCCTTAAAGGTGTAAAGGCTCAGTAATCCTATATAGAGTGGCTAGTATTAGAATGGGCTCAACGGCAGTGGGTTGGGCTTGGTTTCTAGATGGAGAAGCTTTGGAGCTAGGCAGGCAGGATAATGATATTCCAAATCTATTCCGAGTACTATAGTAGAAGGCAGTAAGAAGAGAGAGTAAAATAGTATCTCCCTCAAGCTGTTTCCACACGTCATGCTTTCCTTGGGCAGAATTGACATCATAGCATTTTGGAGATGGGTCAACAGATTTTTTTTTTCCTCTCAGACAAAGACACATTTCCTTTAGCTCTCTAAAATAATCAAATCTGTGATAGAGCTCTGCCAGAATCTGCCTGTTTATCTTTCAAATGCAGGCCCTGACCCTGAGAGACAGACAAAAGCCTCTGCTTGGCTCCTGGGAGAACTGGACTTCACCCCACAGTCCTTCAGCTGCTCGCACAGAATCCGGGGTTGAATTTTTTCCAGTCATAGCCAGGACTCTGCATGAAGCTTAAGAACTGCCATCATGAGATGCAGTGCTCAGAGATGTCTTAATTTTGCTCAGCTAAAGGACATTCTTTCACCTTGCTTCTGTCTGACTCGGCCTGAACTCCAACCACAGAGATGCCCACGTTTAGGTGCATCCTCTCTCTCCATGGTTAGCTTCTGTAAAGCAGAGCCAGGTCTGGTTCCTTTAATCTTTCTTAGACTGTTGTGCCCTCTCTCTCTGTCTGTTGTGTAAGCAAATATCACTCAGGGCTCAGAAGAAGCTGAACTGTGACTCATTCAAGTAAATCGATAGCTTAAAAACCTGACCAACATTTGCTGACCTCCTAATCTTGGCCAAGAGCACTAAGACCTCTCTCTGACTTGCTATGCTTATAAAATGCTGCCACTTCCAGGGCAGAGCCAAGAGCTATTCCCTCCATGGAGGAGGATGAGAAATGAAGGTGCTGTGTCTGCTGCTAAGTCCCCACCCTGAATCAGTCTCAGCACATTGATAAGGCAAGAATATGCTTCTTCTTTCAGTGCTGCCTCGTTCCCTCCATCCCTCAGTTCTCAGTCACTTCCCACTGTACATAAGACAAATGCCTTGCTATCAAGACCCAAAGTGAATGGGCCTATCACCTACAAAGATATTTCAGACATACATCATGCAGGTGTGGTCTGAATCTCTAGGTAGATTCCCTTCCTGACATTCAGATTAGAACCCAAATAGATTTTTAAATTATTAAATCACTTGTTTACCAGATGAAAGGTGAGCTGGCAGCAAGGGCCTGGCTATCTACTTCCAAAAACTCAGCCACTGAAAACCCTACGGGCCACAGTTCTACTCTGACCCACGTGGGGGTGCCAAGGGTTGGAACTGACGCAATAGCAACTGCTTGTGATTAAAATGATAATAAGTGGCTATAAGATTTTGCATTTTTATCCTGATTGGCTAATTTCTCCAAAATGGGAGGACTATATTTCAAATTCAGGACAACGTGCATTTATAAATATATATACATATATATATAAATATATATATATATATATATACACACACATACAGATTTTCAACACTCTAGAGAGAGCTGATGATTCAAGTAACTCTGTAATTCACCTCCCTTTGCCTATGCACTGCCCCTGGGCCCTTTGGACAAAATTCTCATTTTTTTCTTTCATATTCAACTCTGGCTGCCTGAGTTCATGGAGGTTAGCCTCAGTCACGAGGGCTGATTGGGCTAGAGACCCTG